CACACACACACACACACACACACACACACACACACACACACACACACACAATACTCTCTGTGTGTATAAACACATTTGTTTTCAACAACTGAGTCAGGTGTGAAGATAAACAAACACACACCCTCCCAACCCCACAACCCCGCCTCCACCCCCCACTGCCCAGTCATCTACATCTGCAGGGAAACATCAGCTCTGCTGGTCTCAGAGGGCAGGATGGCTACATGTACTTACCCTGTTTGCAAAATTGATGAGAGGAGATGGTGCTGGAACAGCAGGGGAGGAAGCTGACTGATGTTTTACCACAGGACAGAGAGAAGACAGACCTCTGGGCTGAGGTGGGTCAATTTCTGTCCTTTAAAACAGGAGGAAAAGGCAGAAGGAGTTTTTTTTTAGATCTCCCTCATATCAGGGTCCACCGAGTCCCTGCTCCAAGTACAGAAGTGTCATATGGGTTTGTGGTTTCATTGACATGTTACACACATGGTGTAATAAAACGACACGTCATCTTTCATTCGGCCAGTCATCTCCAGAAGCATTTATGATGAGCATAATTGTTCAATGATGCTATGCTGTAAAACAGGGGTGCCCAAACATTTCACTTGAGAGGGCCAAAATTAAAATRAATCTGATAGCTGCGGGCCAAATGCAATAATACAAGAAATGCAAATACTTAAGTAAAGTTGTTAWATATTTTTTATGATTAAGCTAGCAGCCAGTGTGGTTGCCCACATTCTTTAGTTTTTTTATTTCAGCCCATGGACATGGAGAAAATTCAACACATGCTAAGGTAGCAAAGGCTCATGGGACTTTTCCTAATTTAAAATTTAAGTATATGGGGTCTTATAAGGTGTGCAAATCTATATATGGGCTTAAATATAACCTAAATGTCTCTTGTAGTTACTTGTATTTTATATTTAATCTTAACATAATTACAATCTAGTAACCAGGACAACTGCTGGTGGGCCAAATCAAATGMCTCGGCGGGCCAATTTTGGCCCGTGGGCCCCACTTTGGGCACCTCTGCTGTAAAAGTTACCTGAGGCTCAKAAGCATGAAGCAGGTATGACGGTGAACCGCTCATTGATAATTTTGTTTTTGACGGTATGAAAAAGTAGGCAGCAGTAAAATTTTACAAACTTTATTACAGCAGAAGGTGCCAAGTCACCAGATGCCATCACAAAATTCATTTCAGTCATAGGCCTGGTTCCAATACTACGCCCCTCTTTGAAGTGTGCACTCAGTCAAAGTGATCATAACGGTTCGAGTGCGCAGATTACAAGAGAGGAAAAACTGGAGAGTTGGGACAGTATAGGTTTAATCATCGCCTCTGCGTCGTGACTGCAACATCCAAAATGGCAGYACAGGTCACTGTTTTGGTATTTGTACTGCTAAAAATGATAGTACAACTACAACAAGCAATTATTTTTAGGAGAAGGTGCATACAGCAGATGGTTGGTGGACTTTCTTCTTTTTCTTTTGATTTTATTGGCAGACAAATTTAAATGCATTACKGCCACCGCTAGGCTGGAAGGTGCTCAGTGGACATTGCTGTATTTTTGCCTTTTKATTTAAAACATCACATACATATATTGAGTGTAATACACTTCCTCAAAGTCTGCATTGGATGCAGGCCTAGCCAAAGTGCGGATTAAAGGTGAAAAGGGGACAGAGCAAAAGACCACTCTGGAAAATTGTGACATGCTACACACTCAAACCCTTCAGCGGGAATGTACGTTTGAAGTACACAAAGGTGGAAGRGCAAGTATTGGTACCAGGCCATACACTCCCTCTGCAGTTTTCAARACTGTCTCTTCTGCCCTACACTGTAACAGCACCGCCATCTAGTGGCAAGAAGCCATTACKGCAACAGAACAAAACATAAATGCACTCACTGGAAAGCTTAGAACACAAGACAATYTGAAGGAACTCTGCATTAGGTCATGTAAACTCATCACGTTTGTTTAGTTTGTTTCTGTTCTGTCAATGGAACGAATGCCAAGTGAAACTGTTTGTGATACAACAAGACTGACTGCACAACAATAAACTCCACAGTCAAAATTCCCCTAATTAACCACAAAATGAGGATGAACTGCATTCACAGAGACAGACACAGCTAGAGTGCACTTGGTGGTCTTGTGTAGAAACAGGAAATGGAAACCAGTGTGTTTTCTCTAGATTAGAATAACCTACAAAMAGGATTTAGACCAAATATCAACAAGTTATCTTGATTAGGAAGAKAAATCAATGGATATCTCTGGAACCACTCATATCAAGATGATCCAGACATCAAAATGTTTCTTTAACAGCAGAAATATGAAAAAGTGCTTAAGTCATTTTGACCAAAACTGTCTTAGTCCTCAGTTTGATGTGATGGGTAACATGTTTTCATATTTAAATGAAGGCATGTCAGGGGAGGAGTTTTATGTTAGCTCAGATCGCAATGATTACAGCAACAAAAAAGATGCTGTTATAGGAAAAAGGGGACATACTGAAGTGGTTTACCTCCATTTTCTTTACTGCTTTTTCTACTTTGGTTTGCAGGGGAGCTGATCCTTGTGCAAGAGGTGGGGTCCATCATCATTTTACTCACCTGTGGATGTTTTTTTACAGTGGCAAAAAGTCCTAACATGCGTGTTTTGGGCCTGTGAGAGGAAGCTAGAGTTAACCCCTGCCCCACCATGCTGCCCCTGAAGTGATCTCTGAAAGGTAAAAACTGAAAACTAAAACTGGGATGAGAACAGTATGTTTGTGTAAGAATGTGTGTCTGAGCTTTGACACACCAATACAATGTGAGCAGATGAGAAAAACTGAGCAACTAATGAGCTGCCCAGCTCTCTCCTGTCAGATTCTAAACAAATAAAAACTGGAGCAAAAAGAGTTCCTAAAATATTTTTAAATAACTAAATTTTAAGTAAAATTTTATCAACTAGTCCAGAATCTAYTATCTGTGGTAAAAAGTGAGCATGTTTCCTTCTAAATGTAATGTGAGCTGATATGTGCTCTTAAGTACTTCCTGTTTAAATTTTAATTGAAGTACTTCCTGTTCAACTTGAGTGTGAATGCAGCTGAAATTAATGAGACAAATGCACCAAATGTCAGTGAGCCTGTTAGTAAAATATCTCATGAACCAAGAGARAGATTTTAATAAGACTTAATCATTAGATCTAAAACTGTCTGTGGAGTCAACCCAATTCAAAATGGCCAACACAGTTCAACGTCAGTTAACACATCCATGGTTTTGGTTGTGTCTCAATTCAGTTGTCACAGTGGAAGTAGGGCACATTTGTCGGTTGCTTACGTCACTACCCGACGCCGTAGGCTGTTTCAATTAGGCACCTACTCATGTGGCCAACAAAACCTCAAAAATGTAGGCTYCATCTTAGTAGCCTACATGGCCAATGGAATCTCAGAATTCCTTGTGTCATTAGCAAGTTAAACAGAAAAACGAAGACAGCAGAGGTTTTAGGGTTTAAATGTAAGTTTAGTACCTTAGCTGATGAAATTTTTTGCTGCAATCAGATATTATATAAAATGCAATTACAAGTACTGATACTGGAGCTTAACCCAAATCATTAATGCCTTTTTATTTATTTACATGTAACATTGCTTTAATAATACTGCATTTTATGTAAAGGAAATGTGATATCAAACGTTTCACCATGGTAATGGGACATGTGGCTGTGCAAAAATATGTCGTCAGTAGACRACACCATCTCATTTCACAGCCATTTKTACTGGCTACATCAGTGACCTAAAATCCCATGTAGGGTGTGGCCAACGTGTGGCCTATCACGTGCAACCCATAAATTAGGACACAGCTTTAATGTCATTTAATTTGACAATTCCTCAGCTAAAACACCCCACTAACCCCACCTTACTAACCCCACCTCAAAGACCCTACCTCAATGAAACTACCTCAATGACCCTACCTCAATGACTTCACCTCAATGACCCTACCTCAATGACTTCACCTCAATGACACTACCTCAATGACCCTACATCAATGACTTCACCTCAATGACCCTACCTCAATGACTTCACCTCAATGACACTACCTCAAT